GTTGTGAGTGGTTTTTTTTTTTTTTTTTTGCTATTTTCTCTTATTTTGCCTAAAGTATTTGGATAATCACTCCAAGCTGCCAGGCTGACATGCTTCAAGGGGTTAGTTTGACTGGGTAGCCTTGGATGAGGTCCAGCACGTTTGTAAATTAGACCATCACAATGTCAAAAAGCTGGACACCCCTGCAGGCAGAACTTTAGAAAGCCTGCGCTTGTCAGTCAAGACGGCGAAGCGGAGCCACGGGTGTGGCAAGCTCTCCCGGCGGGGCAGACCTTAAGTTCAGCTTTGTGCTTCCCAAGTGCACAGTAGATTCGTACTTGAGAGATGGCTCAGCAGTTACGGGTGCTTGCTGCTCCCACAGGGGACCCCAGTTTGGTTCTTAGCACCCGCGTCGGCAGCGTCAGGCACCTCGCAGCCAGCCGTGACCCCTGTTCCCGGGCATCTGTTTCAGCATTGTCCTGCGCTTGCCCTGCACACCACCCCATTCTTAGTGGTCGGTCCCTCACACGGGGAAATGCTACTGTGTAACTTTGCCTCCAAACTTATCCCTGATTGGGTAAATAGAGTTGCCGGGGCGGGGCAAGAAGTGAGGTAGGTGGAGCTAAGGTTAGCGAGCTCAGAGGATCACGGGAAAGAGAGAAGGAGCCACGCGGCTGGGAGGAGAGAAGCACGCACGAGTATTTCTATTATCTCGGATAGGAAGTAGCCCAGGTAGGAATGATTAGAGCAACTGGCATGGGAGGTGGGGCTGGGAAGAAATGAGGTAGCTTAAGGGGCTAATATCTGCCCAGCCCCAGGTGAAAAAGGCTTATTAAAATTCTATCAGGTGTCTCTGTCTTTCGTTAATATGGTACTGGGTTAATAATAGCCTCCATAATAATTACATGGATTAATAATAGTTATTACTAACCAACGTCCCGCAGCAGGGATCTAACACCTTCTTCTGTGCCACACACATGCACAAATACACAGACATATACACAGATATAGAATTTAAAATAACAATACATCTTCTAAAATACTCAGTAAGTGACTGAATATCGGTGCAGAAAGATTCAAACAGCATGGAAAGGTTAGCTCTTACTAAAATGCATACTTTGCTAACATGCCATTTTGTATATTTATTAGCCTATAGAAATTATCTAAGATAGTCAGATTCATTGAGACACTTAAAACATGTATGTCGTTATGTTGGTCAAGGGCACTTCTCCGTGACCTGCTCTTACCCCTCTTCCTGACCCCTTGGCTTCCCCTCCTACTCTGCATTCTACTTTTCTCTTTTTTACTTTCTGGCCTCTATTTTTCTACCTTTTATGCATGTGTAGTGTTAATGTATACATGCATATCTGTGTGTGTGTGCGTGTCTGCGTGCGTGTGTGACGTGCACGAGTACACACATTGGTGGGGGGCTCATTCTTTATCATTCTCTTTTATTGACTCGGGTGTCTCAGTCAAACTCAGAGCTTGTCAATACGGTTGGTCTCGGTAGCCAGCTTGGTGATGCCCCTCTGTGTCTTCTGAGGGTGAATTAGAGGCGGCTGCCTCACCCAGCCAACACTTAGGTGAGCTCTGGGACTCCAGGCTTCAGCCCTCACACTTGCACAGCAGCTCCCAGCCCCAAGGAGATTACCTCTCTTGGTTATCGGGACAGTGCGGCAGGTACACACGGATGTGCAGCTCTCTGTGCTGTGTGGACCTAGAGCACCGTAACAGAGTGCTTTTTATTGCGCGCTTCTCAAGAGCCTCCACGCCGGTTCCCATTCTCACCAAGAATGGAAGCCCAACTTGCAGTGTTAACTAGAGGATAAAACTAAGCTCCAGGTCTCAGGTCGGCCAGCCTCAGAGAGAGCGAGTGTGAGCTCGCCCACAGGAAGCAGGCAAGGACGGCTGGTTCTATGAGCACACCCTGCCCTCGCTTGTACCAGAGTTTGCGGATGTGTGTTTAGTCATGAGCTGGGTCGGTGGGATGGGGAACGCTCTTGCACGCGTTATGTAGGTCATGTTTCATGTTCCTTTTTGTAATATAGAATTACCCCCAAGTGCAACAAAATATTGTTTCTCCCGTTCACTCACCTTCAGGGTGGTTTTATTGTAAAAAGCATTTCATGCTCATCAGGTTCCTTGAATTAACCTAGTTAAGCAATGTTTGTGCTCTGTATGCCTCCCTAGTGGATATGAAACCCAAATTTCACAAATCTCAGTTTGGGGGTGCATGTGGCATTTGCAGGGGGTGGTAACACCTTTAATAATGCCAAAATATTTGCATATGAGTTTTTTTAAAAAGCCATAATTCTCCAAAATATAAGCTTGAGTCTGGAGCCATTTCTGACACATGAAAGGTACCCACTGGGTTGCCTCTTGATGTGTGGATGACTCGTAGTTCTGATGTGCAGCCTCAATATTCACCAGTGTGTTGTCAGTAACAGACACGGCACTGAGGAGAAAGGGCATGAATGGAATGCCGTAATGGCCGGAGCTCAGACCTCGCTCTGTGCTCAGACCTCGCTCTGTGCATGCCGGCTGTAGGAAAGCTGTCTGTCCAGACACTCTAGAAGGTAATTCAAAGCCTGCCCAAATGTGAAAACGGGCACAGTTGCCACACCCTTTGCGTATTTTCCTCCATGTTGGTCTTTCTGGTGTGAAAGAAAGAAACCACACCCGCAAAGGCTGATTGGCTCAGTAGAACTTAAGCGGTGTAGCGGCGCGGGGGGGGGGGGCGGGGGGGGGGGGGGGGGTGCTGCGGGTCCAGAGCCATCCTCCTGGGGAATCCTTAGCCCTTTACACCATCAACTCTCTGCCCTCCTCTCTATGTGATCTTACCTCTTTTCTGACCATCCTAGTCAGGCTCAGTATTGCTGTGATGAAACACCATGACCAAAAGCAAGTTGGAGGGGGAAGGAAGGGTTTATTAGGCTTTAGGCTTCCAATCACAGTCCATCAAAGCAGGGCAGGAACCTGGAGGCAGGAGCTGACACAGAGGCCATGGAGGGTGCTGCTCACCGGCTCACTCCCCCTTGCTCACTCATCCTGCTTTCTTATAGAACACAGGACCACCAGCCCAGGGATGGCACCACCCACAATGCACTGGGCCCTTCCCCAGCAATCACTAATTAAGAAAATGCTTTACAGCTGGATCTGATGTCGGCATCCTTTAAATTGAGGTTCCACCATCTCAGATGACTTTATTTTTATGTCAAGTTGACCTAAAACTTAACACAGTAACCACTAGGTAAATCCTTTGAAATGTACAGACTTTTAGCTCTGCTGACCCCAAAACTAGGAATGTTGTCAGACAGCGCCTTCAACCTAGAGCAGACCTTTCCCACGCTGCTGCGATGTTTCTGCAATCACTGTATGTGAAACGTGTCTCGATGCGTGACTTTGCTCACTGTAAAAACTTTATGTAATAGTTACTGTGTTGGAACATGGAATTTGTGTAACCTGCATTGCCTGAATTTGTACCCAATACTTCCAAAAAAAAAAAAAAAAAAAACAAAGCCAAAACCAACCAACCAAACAAACAAAAAACCCACAGGAGAAAAGTTCTTTTTCAGGTTGTGCCATGGAGACAGTTTGTAAACCTGCAGCCCTGTCCCGCAACCGGGGAGCTTGGAAAGCCTGCAATGGCAAACAGCTAGTTTTTCTTGTCAATTGTTCCCTTTCCAGCTCAGTTTCCCTTAGCCACATCTGGCTATAAACTCTATAAACTCAAGCGCCTCTGCATCGCCCCCCACCCAAGGGGATTTCAGGCTGTAGTCTTCCTGGGATTCCAGCTGAGGAGGAAAGCTCCAGAACTGCTGTTCTTCAGCCCTCAAGGGCATGAGGGCAACGGAAAGAAAATTGGTCGGCTCCTCTCCCCCACTCTACCTTGAGGACCCGCTGGCTTCTATTTTCTATTCCATTTATTATTGATAGGGTGTTCATTCTCCTCATCTCCACCACACTCACAAACCAAATCAACTTCTCTGGCTGTTGGCTGGTGAGAGGTGGTGCCGGTGGGAAAGGCTCTTCCTGCCGGTTCTGCAGCCATTGGTCCCTGTGTGGGACACTAAAGTGAAGGGGCACTGGGGTGAGAGGGCGAGGTGCGTGAAGCTGGGACGAGGGTGGGGGCAGGCAGGGGTAGGGCCCTCCAGTGACTCAGCTGAGCCCTGCAGCCAGCCAGCTCCAGAAGGCCTGCAGTTCTCAAGGTCACAGCCTCCCTGAGTTGGCTGGGGATTCAATCAGTCTCCCGGGAGCTCTTGAGCAAGCTCCTTTGTTTAGCCAAAGGAGAAAGGCCTGGCAGCTTGCCCTTCCTGCCACCGGAGGGCTGAGAATAAGTTCTTTTTTACTCCTAGTGGGCAAGGGACAAAAGAGAAGGAAGCCATAGGACATGCATGCGTGCCTAGAGTCTCTGTGAGGTCTGCCATCTGCGACACACCAGCCCCCCAAGACCCCCAAATGACGCCACAGCACCTGTGAGGGAAAAGCACCCAGAAGTGCAGCCTTCCCCTGGCCTTGGTTCTCTGTAGAGAGGCCCGGAGCAGATATGGCTGCGCAGTGCTTTCCCACTGGCTGGGAAGCGGCCAAGCCTGGGATTTCTCCCTGCTCCGTTGGTAGCCCCAAGGACCCCGCTGGTTTTCACGTCAAGTGGATACAAGCTGGAGTCATTTGGGAAGAGGGGACCTTAAGTGAGAAAATACCCCCACCAGATTGGTCTGTGGAACATTTTCTTAAGTGATGGGTACTGTGGGTAAGGCCTACCCGGGGCAGTGCTGGAGAGCATAAGGAAGCTGAGTAGACCCTGGGAAACAAGCCAGTGAGCAGCCTCGGCTCCTGCCTCCAGGTTCCTGCCTTAGCTCCTGCCCTAACTTCGTTCAGTGGTGAACTTTACCGGTAAGTGTAAGCAGAAATAAGCCTTTCCTTCCGCCAAGGTGTTTTATCACAGCAGCAGAAACCCTAAGGCACTCTCGCTCCTCCCACTTCTCATTGCTGCTTTGGAGGGCTGGAGCCCCGAGCTGTCCACTCCCCGGAGGCTGGACAGCAGCAGCAGGCCTGCAGGCAGCCGGTCTCTGACTTTCTCACAGACACCTGGAGACGGACTTCCTCAAGCTGACGCCAAGTGGCCTCAAGGACCCGCCTGGATGGCAAGCGGAGCAAGCCAGGATGTGAGGTTTGTCCCGGGACGCCCAGGTCTGAAATGGACAGCCAGGCTCGGGGAGCTGGAAGAAAGGCCTCCTCTCTGGCACAGCATTCCCTGGAGCGAGGCCCCAGAGGTTCCCAGCCCAGGAGGAAGTGAGCTGCCTGGGGCCCTGGCCTCCTACCAGACCTGAAAGGAGAGAAGTCAGCCTGGAAGCTTATCAGACCCCAGCCAAGTTAAAGCCTGGCTCCAGGGAGGACCTGAGAGAAGCTGGACTTGGCTAGCCCCAGGCCAGCCCTACCCAAATGCCTGGAGGCAGCAAACTCCCAGCACTATCAAAATACAGGTCGTAAATAAAGCCTCCTTGGCAGCCAGCTCAGGGTTGGAAATAGAGTCCCCCCAAAATGACCTTTCCAGACTAATGCTGGAACCGAAGGTCAAAAGAGCCTCCTAAAGTAACGAGGAAGAGGCTGGGGCTTGCCTGGCATTGAGATGGGCCTCACATTTGGATGGCCAACAGGTGGCCATCTTTGCCTTCAGGAGGGCAGGGTGAACACCTGCCTCCCTCTCAGGCCCCTGCTCCCCTGTCTGCCATCGTGGGAAGCAGCTGTAAGGTCCCACAGCAATAGACGCCAGCCAGCACAGTCTTCCTGCCGCGAGGCCGTGAGCCAAAATCCCCGTCTCCCCATGAGTTCTTTCTCAGGTGACATAGTAAACCTAAGTCACTGACACGCCCGGCCCCGCTGAGGGTTTAACACCGGCATCCAGGACTGAGCGCTTCTGCCCTCCCTGCCTGACACCGCCTGAGGTCCCAAACACCCTAGAAAGCGGTGGATCAAAGGCCAGCGCCTCCTCACTCCCACGTGGGGTCAGAAGGAGAACTGGCTCCGTCCTTGCCCTCTGAAGCATCCATCAGATGAATGCTGACGCAGCAGAGGCCAAGGGGACCTGATTCCGCTCTACGGGCCTCCCAGTCTGAGGAGGGCAGACAACAGGACGGATGGATGAATGGGCCTGTGGAGACCAAGGGCGGCACAGCTTCAAGGAGGCTGTCTGAGGCTGCCCTGCCTCAGCTGAGCAAGCACGCTGTGGAGACCTGAGGGAGGGTAGCCTGGGAGACAGAGGGCCAAGTTCACACAGGGCCGGGGTGCATGAATCGTGTCTTCTCACAGAAGCCTCCTGCTCCATAGCTGGATGAATGGATGCTGGAGGGGTGTGCTGCTTTCCCAGGGGTACCCAGTATGGCTGAACTCTGTGCCCTGCTCTAACTAAAGTCATACAAGGCTTTCACAAGATCAAGCTGGCTAAAATTCCAGCGCTCACCAAACCCCACCCTAGCCAGGGTGCTGGCAGTATCACCCCTAGGCAGAGGGGCCTGGGCTGTCTGAGGAAGCCAGAGGCACAGGCAGGAAGTGTGCCAGCAAGCAGCATTCATCTGCGGTTTCTGCTCCAGTTCTGGCTTCAGCTCCTGCCCTCACTTTCCCCAGCGATGAACTGTGACCTGGAAGTGTAAGCTGAGATAAATGCTTCCCTCCCCTCAGTTGCTTTTGCTCATGATAATTATCACAGCAACGGAAAAGCAAACTAGAATGCAGTTTCAAACAATAAATAAAAATACATATTTAAAAATTAGGCAACCAGTTCGGCTCTGTGGCACACGCCTGTGATCCCAGCACTTAGGAGGCGGAGGCAGAGGCAGAGGCAGGCAGAGTTCAAGGCCAGCTTGGTCTACAGAGTGAGTTCCAGAACAGCCAAGGTTACAGAGAGAAACCCTGTCTCAAAAAAACCAAACCTTCAGCTATTTGAGTCAAAGTCAGCTCTAGAGTCTATATGAGGAACAACTTTTGATGGACACAGTCTCAGCCTAGAAACCCAAGCAGAAAGGGAAGGCGACCTGAATGCAGGTGGACACTGCCATGCCCAGAGATTTCCCCCAGGATCAGGGCTTCCCTGGCCTGTCTCGTGACCCTTCCAGGGTTCCCACACTGAAAGATGAGGCAGCAAGACTTCTACCAAGGAAGCAATCTTACTGTCGTGTTCCAGGATTCTACCAAGCTCCCAGTCACAAGACAGTTGGTGAAGGTCACTTCAGATGGCCATGAGGGGTCAGAGTTGCGAGCCAATTGCCGGAAGCCTGGTCTACAGACCTGCAGGCCGAGCCCTTCACAGAGGAGCAGGAAAGCCAGGTGCTGCCACGGAAAACGCAAATGACAGGTCTGGAAAGGTAGCGGCGCCGCCCCATGCCCCACAGGCCCAGCACACATTGGGGGCTCTGTGAGCTGCAGGCCCCAGCAGGGCATGGTGAGAACGTCACCTATCAGGCGCTTTAAGGGTCTCAGCTACATAGACGAAGCCCTGGGTTCAGCTCCCAACCCGGCATAAACCAGGCTTGGTGTTTCACCTCCAATCCCAGCATGTGGGAAGCAGAGGGGTCGGAGGTTCAAGACGGTGCTTTAACTACACAGTCAGGTCAAGACCAGCTCAGGACTCATAAGTTGATCAGGACTTATTTACTATTTTAAATACTCTCTCTCTCTCTCTCTCTCTCTCTCTCTCTCACTCTGTGTGTGTGTGTGTGTGTGTGTGTGTGTGTGTGTGTGTGTGTGTGTGCAAGAGCAGCAAGTACTCTTAACCACTGAGCTATCTCTCTACCTCCAAGGTCAGGGTCTTGATTGGACCTGCAGGCTGGAGTTCAAGGCCATCCTAACGCCCTTTGGACTGTGTGTGGACTTTTCGGGCGGCTTTGATACATCTATTTCAGTCAAACCAAATAATGATAAGCTAATTTTTTTCATCTGCGGCTTGGCCTCCTCTCTGTTTTTCTTCTTTCCTCCCCTGCCTCCCCCACACTTGTCTTCCACGTGTTAGCCCATTTGTTCTAGGTGGGGTGTTCCTGTTTGTTTCAGCTTTCTGGCACAAGCACTTGGAACTGTCACAGACCATGGAAACAGTCAGAACCTGTATCAGAGGGTGCAGTGACAGGTGTCCACAGAGCGACCGACCATTGTGTCTGACACTCAACTTCTCAGAGACGTGTGGGCAGGAGGTAGGTTGGGGGTGTGGACACCCAGCTGTGGACACCCCTGGCCAGTGGAGACAGGGGTGCGCTCCCATCCTCACTCCTGTGGGTGACCTTAGCCGCCAGCACCTCTCCGCTGCTGCTTGCCGAGTGACAGAACCAGGCTCTCCCGTGAGCCACCCATCCGGCTGGCAGCCCAGGTACATCCTTCCTCCCCACCCACCTCGGGCAAGTGCTCTTGGCAGAGGTTTTCCTGCTCACTCTCCCGAGCACAGGGCCCGACCAGGTCTCCAATGCTCTGCCAGCAGAGCAGGGTGGTGGGATGGTGCTGCTGGGCTTGCGTGGCGAGCGTTGGTTTCGAGGGAGGTCTGAGGTGGTTCCCCAGGCTCTGTGAAGCCACCACGTAGCTGCAGGTGTGGTGCCGCTGGGTGGTTCCTGGCTGTGGTGTGACGATGACAGTGTGCCACGGAGGGTTTCGGGTAGCTCGGGATGCCTCCTCCCAGCTCCTCCGTGCACACATTGAGGTTGCCATCTCTCATGGACTGTCCTGTTACACTCACTGACGAAGTGACACTAACTTCGGAGGGCAGGTGTTGCTTCCATTTTTCACGTTAGTTTTCAAGATGAGGTCTTTGAGGGTCGGAGAGATGGCTCAGCATGTAAGAGCACTGGCCGCCCCTGCGCAGGGCTGGAATTCCAGTTCCCAGGGCTGTGTCACATGGCTCCCTGCCCATTACCCCAGCACCAGGGGCCTCTGCAGGACACACACATGTACAAATACACACACACACACACACACACACACACAATTTAAAAATAAATCTTAAAAAAGAGACTCCATCTTAATCCTCAAAAGACATCTTATTCTTCACCTTTGACCCTCAGGGTGGTTTTCACAGAAACAGTGAGGGAGGTCCTGTGGATATCTAGGGTCACAGGTCAAGGCCAATGCTTCAGCCTTCAAGAGCTCATGAAGCCTGGGACACACTGCATGGTCACAATAAAGGCGAACCAGCCTCGCCTGCCACTGCCACCCGCTCAGTCAAACGCCCTGTTGCCATGATGAACTCCAGGAGCATGAGCGTCCAGTCAGCACCGGGGAATGTCACCTGACCAGTCACCAGCATTCTTAACCGCACACACCACCAAAGCAGGCTTCCCTCAGAATGCACCCTGCTCCTCTCCGAAATGCAACGATTGTTTTAAACCTACTCAAACAAAGCTTGAAAAGAGTTGGCTCCCAAGGTGGCCACTGGTGTCTGAGGAGCACAGAACCCCATGGCCTCCTGCTCTGGTGAGACCCACTGCGAGCTCTGAGGCTATCAATGGCCCACGTTGGCATTTTTATCTCTGTAGTGAAAAGGGTAATTTGGCTGGCTGCCTCAGTGATGAGGAAAATAGGATTGCACTCCAAAGAAACATGGCATGGGCTTTGTTCTCTTACCCAGAAGTCTTTCCCAGGCACCATGGAAGGCGCTGTCCCCAGGAGCCCCTACCACCCCTAAGCCATTCACAGCCCAGCAGCTGGCAGAGCCAGCCAGCCACTTGGCACACCCTCGCTGTGATGGCATGGTGAACGTCAACTTGATTAGCTCTGGCCAGGTCTGTGAGGCATTTCCAGGAGTGACTGACTGAGAGGATAGAGAAGCCCCTGACTGGGTGTCACTGTATCTGTCCCAGATACAAAGAGTCCTCGGAAGAAACAAAGTTACTCACCAGCATTGCTCCAGCTGGTAGATGTATCTATCCCATCAGCCTCTTCCTTGGCCTTCCAACTTGGACTAAAACCCACCTTGGGCAGACCAGAACTGCCAAGGCGGCTGACCTCATGGACAGAGGAGCGCTGAGCCTCCGAGTGTGCAGGCAGAAGCCGCTGGGTTGTCATGTAAGCCATTCTGGAAACCCCTTTGTGATGGATATTCATTGTATGGGTTCTGTTCCTCCAGAGAAGCAGACCAGCGTGGGTAGGGTTTTGCCCACAGTTCTTGAAGCTGACTAGTAAATGGGAAAATGGTGTCCTCAATAAGAAAAGCAGGAAAAATGTTGATGTGGGCTTCCTCACACAAGGGTAATGAAAGAGGTGTGGAGTGAGAATTCTGGAATTTTGTTTTGTTTTTGTTTTTTTTTGTTTTTTGTTTTTTTTTTTTTAAAGCACAGAAATATTATAAGAATGTGCTTTCATTTAATCCCGGGTGTGGGATGTGGGGCTGCTTCGGATGGTTCGCAGCAGCTGATGATGATTTGCCTTGTGCTCTAGCAGAAGCGTGGTTTTGCCAGCTGCAGATGGTTTCTACGATTGTGTGACGTTCTGAGGGACTTAGAGGCAGGATTGCTGGTTGGTGGTTGGTGGTTTGTTACTTAGATCAGGGGACTTGGTTCCAGTTTGTTATTAGTTGTGCTCAAAGGAGAAACAAGAAGAAGTAAATCAGATTCAGGGATCTCTCTCTCCCCCGTCTTTCCCTTATCTGGTAGGGATGAAAATAGGGGAGACAGAGGTGGTAAAAAGAAGAACCCATAAAGTAGCAAAGACGGGCTACAGAGGCGAGCAGGGATATGGCCTGTGAAAGCAATAGTCTAAGGGTGTCACAGGTCTGGAGGAAAGTGGCTTATGGGGAGAACCTGCTCAAGGGCCTGCATGCCTCCAAAGGAAAAACATCAGCGGAAAAGTTACTTTTCAAATCTAGATTTTCTCTTCCTTCTTTCCTTCCTTCCTCCCTTCCTCCCTCCCTTCCTTCCTTCTTCCCTTCCTCCCTTCTTTCCTTCCTCCCTCCCTCCCTCTTTCTCTTTCTTGCTTGCTTGCTTGCTTTCAGCAGGTAGGTTCCTGTACTTTCCCTCAAATAACTCTGCCTTATATCTTAGACACTCCCTGGCCATCTTTGCTTTGGGAGAGCAGAGCCAAAGCAGTGGGTGTGGGGTGTGGGAGGAGTTGGCTGAATTATCCTCACACTTGGCTCAATGTCTACCTTCATTTTGCTAATAAACACCATGTCCTTCATCAGACCGTTTTTCAGGGAGTCACAGCCCGCAGCTGGTGGCCTGACAAAGAGCTAGAAGCAGCTGCTGAACAGGCCTGGGTGGTTTCTGTCGGGTCAGGAGGAAGAAGCCTCGTGCTGGCAGAATCCTTCTGGACAACCCTTCCTTTCCTCTCCTCTTGGCAGACGGAAGCCGAGCCACGGGGAAGGTGCAAAGCGGTGAGGGTTGAACAAACCTCCAGCTTGTGCTTGGCTTGTTGGCTCCTCCGAAGCGGAGGCTGAATCCCACAGCACCCAGTGTCCACCCTGAGTGACAGGCTCCAGGGCCAGATTTCTGATGCAGAGCCCCAAGGCGGGCATGTTAAGGACATTAATGGCAGAGGAAGCCTGGGAGCCTCTGAGAGGGACACAAGCCAACAGAACAGAAGGCAGAGCTACAGAATTGACCCAAAAAAAGGAGGTCTCTTCTGGCTGCGGCCGCCAAGTCTAGGGTTTTCCCAGCCGACGTGCACCTTCAGGAATGCCTTCCTCTTTCATAATAAACTGAACTGCTTTCCCTGCTCCCTGGAATAACATGGAAATTCTCACAGATGCCCAGGACCGTGACCCGAGGACAGTGATGGGGCTAGCTGGGTTTGTGAAGCCGGAAGAGCTGAGTGAGGATGTTGGAGGTGGGGCCTCAGCTCTTGCTAACCTGGGTGTTTGCTCAGGATGCACTCCAGCCCCTCCAGTCACAGGAGATGACTCCTCCTTCATGCTCACCAGGATGAGCCCTGCCTGGCTCCAGGCCTGTGCCCTGGTATCAGTGACTCCCCTCTGACCAGTGTCTGTGCTTGGTAAATGGAGAGGCTGCAAGTCTCCCAGGGGACCTCAGGGTGAGGGTGTTCCTGAGGCAGGAACGCTCAGATGCCAGGAGTCCAGAGGGAGTGAGCGGTGTATCAGTGAAAGCTGCTGAGCAGGTGTTTGCACTTCAGTTACCCATGCACCCCATTCCCACTTCCTCACACGCTCTCCCTCCCTCTCCCTCCCTCTCCCTCCCTTCTTCCTTCTCTTCCTCCCTTCCTCCCTCTCTTTCTCCCACTCTCTTCCTTCTCCCTCCCTCCGTTTCTCTCTCTCCCCCTCCCTCCCTCCCTCTCTCTCAGGTAAAACCATTTTGGTCCATTGAGGAGAGGGTGGCCTCCCACATGAGACTGACCTCTGCCCGTGTGGAATGTGATTCTTGGGTCCATGGACTCCACTGCCTTTCAGCAGTGACTGGTGAACGGAGCCGTGGGGGCAAGAATGCAAGGATCGCTATGAAGACCTGAATCTATTTTGCACTTCCGAAGCTTCCCTACAGCAAAACTGTGCTTGGTTGGAAGGTCAAGGCTGCAGAGCCAGGATGTGCCTGCCCAAGCACCAAGAGTGTTCAGCAGAGCTAAGAGCGGTTAGCAGATCTAAGAGCACTCAGCAGAGTTAAGGCTTAATTTTAGCCCAAGGGCCCATCACTGCTCCCTGTGTTTGCCTGGGTCAATGTTAGATGCTCCCCGCCCCCAAAAGCAGGGTATCCCTGTGTATTCCTGGGTACCTGCATGTCTGTGTATCTGTGTAGCCCTGGCTGTCCTGGAACTCACTCTGTAGACCAGGCTGGCCTGGAACTCAGAGATCCACCTGCCTCCCTCCCCTGTGCTGGGATTAAAGGTGTGTGCTACCACACCTGGCCCAGGGTTAGAGGTCCCTGTGTCCACCTTTCTGTGCTGTAGCACAGTGGGCCTCACACTCGGGGCAAAGGAGGGCGCCTGGGGCAAAGCTGTTGCTTCTGGATTGAACGTGACCACCACCATCAAGGATGATGGACTGACACAGCAGTGAGGCCTCAGCAGCCAAGACAATGAAATAAATTAACTCCAGGTCCAAGGCAATGGTGAGGGGCTGTTGGCACCCCCTCCTGGGACTGTGCTGGCAGCTCTCTCTGACGGCCGAGGGCCCACTTGCTCTTGCCCTAGCTGCACCTGATCATGAGGGCATGATACTGGGCACGAAGGGCTGGCCAAAGGCGGGTGCCTGGGTGTGTAGCCCCGTGCTGGGGTGGGCTCCCTGGTGGTGTGGCCGCTCTCAAGTCAGAGGTGCTCCTGTGAGTAAGCTCATTGGCTCACCGGGCTGAGCTTGACCGGAGCCCTTCCTTCAATTGGCCAGCGCCCTATCTGGGAGGAAGGGGCATTTCCTTAAATGTCCCTAGGGAAAGTTGGTCAGCGAGCTCTGGGTGCGCAGTCCGTATTGTCACTGCAGCCTCGGACAGTCCTCAGGGCTGAAGTGAGAGCTTCAGGGCTGCTTTCAGGGAACGTCACTCTTGCCCTGCACAGCCAGCACAGCCGCCTTTACCCACGGTCCTCTCAGCTCTGTGCAGCCCCAGCAAGCCCACAGCAGACGCTGCATAGAGGGGGACAGCGACATCTCGGCTGCTGGTGCTCCCAGACTGGCTCTCTAGCTTGGCATTGGCCATCCATGCCCCTGGCTCCTGCTTGGCCACTGGGAAATTCCAGAGTAATCTTAAAGGATTGTTGCTGCTTCTAAGGAGACAGAAACACAGGCGCTCAACCTGACGATACTTAAAAGTCTAGGCGAATCCAGGTGCCCTCGCTTTGATCAATTATCTTCTGTTAGGTAGGTGGAGGTCCCTGCATGTGCTAGCCCACCTATGCTGAGAGGCCCTGCCTTCCCAGAGCAAGCTGCTCTGTCGGTGCCCTGCTGTGCACCTTCCCCACCCGCTGGCCCAGCGTGATGCTGCAGAACAGGCCTTGAAATGGGCACCATCGGAGCCAGGAAGCTGTGGGCTCCACCACTCAGAGCACGGACACTCTGGCTGACATGGGGACGTAAGTGTTCACCAAGCAGAAGTTGTCTTGAAGCTCCCAAGCACCAGAGGCTCTCCTGCCTCTTCCCAGGCCCTCGTCACGGCCAGCCGTTAAATAAACATGGCTGTCCTGCAGCAGAGGTGCCTTATCAGCTTGCATGGATTCTCCTTTTCCTATTCCTACTCTTAAAACTTTAATACATGCTCTCGGTCATGGCGTAATCTTGCCATATTCCATCAGGCATCAGCAGAGAACCCTCACAGAGCACACTCGGCTTGCAAAGCCCAGTTTCCAGTGAGAGGCTGTCAGGGAGTATGGAGAGTCCCTCGGCCTCTGCTTCCTGGCCCATTAGCAGGATCCTAACCCTACTCCCCACCCTCAGTTCATCTCCCAGAAGAAGAAACATTAGTCTAAGAAATGATTCTTTCATGCCTGGTGCTGTCAACCTAGCCAAAAGCTCAGGCCCGGAGGTCACAGCTCTAGGAAAGAGCTTACTACTGTCGTTTTGCTAAATGGCATGCTGTCAAACTGCCTTCTAAATGTTTATTCTTATACTCGTAAGTTAGTAATGGCCTCAAGCTTAGCCAGAGAACTCATGCCTGTGGTGGTCAGCAGTTAGCACAGACTGAGAACTGTCAAAGTGCTGAGAATACGTGACTATTGAGAGCTCAGTCTTACACTGGACGTCACTGTCATGCCCCACCTACCCCGTGCTCCACACACACAACATCGCCAGAGCTCAGGGAACATTGCAGAAGAGGGGACAAGAGTATACGATCAGGAGGGTGGGGAAGAGAAGTGTGGACTGCTGACTTCTGGGCATTCAAGGTCATTGTTCCCTTGAACTCACTGCAGCTTTGGTCACTTGCACAAAATCAAGGCAGCAAGATCAGCCAACATTTTGGACTGAAAAGAAAGAGAGGAAGGAAAAGAGGGAGGGAGGAAGGGAGGAAGAAAGGAAGGAAAGGAGAAAGGGAGGAAGAAAGGAAGAGAGGAAGGGAGGCAGGAAAGAAGAGAAGAAAAGCGACAAAGGTGGAAGGGGGCATGCTGGGAGTAGCTGGTGGTGAGGACTTGAATTGTGCATACAACACAGTGTTAAATGATATTATCAGAGGCTAAATGAAAAGTATTTCATTTTAAGAAGGGAAAGATTAGAACCTGTCTTCCATAAAGTGCCCAGATGCCTCAGAGGACAGAGTTGCAGAGGCTGCTGTCCTTGAGGAGTACAGCTGTGATGATGCGTCACTCTTCTTTGCCACATTCTGCAGTGCATGCAAGACCCCAGCGCGCCAAGGAGAGGGCCGCAACGATATCCCAGAGGTCCTCCTTGTTAGAAAACCCAGGGCCTCCAGGTAACCAAGGGAACCAGTCCCTAGGCAGATCTTTCACTGCAGGGACCACCTTGCGCCCTGGCTGTTACCCTAAGTCACTCGTGCTCCTTCCCGAAGCTTGGCCTGCTATCTCCAGTCATGGTGTCTCCCTCACCCTTGGTAACCTTTAAAGATGGCAGAGCTGAGGTCTCTCTTGCCTTTGAATCTCTTTGTTCAGTGCTGCCGGCTAATTCCTCTAACAACACTCCTGAAGGACAGTTCTTCCCAGCCCTCCCTAGAATTTGTCACCTGTTGTCTCCATCACCAGCTAAATGTAACGTTATCTGAGGAGGGCTGGGCAGACATGCACAGGACTCTAGGAATGCTCCTTTCTTAACTCTCTGTGGCCCTTTACGGTCTTTGACTCAGTTTCCCCATCTCTGTCTCTTTCCCTCTCATGAACCAGACTTCCTGATCTAGCCTGGTTGGTTTGTGTTGTTGTTTTCCAGGGCCGAGAATTGAACCCAGTGCCTCAAACATTCTAGGTAAGTGACTAGCCACCACAGCCTGCAACAGTCTGGTGCTCTTGAGACCACCGCTTAGCTGGCTGACTGGAGGCTACATACAAGTGTGTGAAGCTGAAGGGACAATGAATGAGATGTGACATTGGGCACAATTCATAGGCCATGACAGCTGTGGTCCAAGAACACCTTAAACTCAAGGTCGTACAGGCGGCTACAGGCAGCCTTGGTCCTGACCTTGAAATCGGGCGGCCAGCCTCTCTTGCTCCTTCCGCAGGCCTCCATTGGCCGATGCAGAATGACACCCAGGCTCCTAACTGTGCTGTGCTAAATCGGGCACACCGAGGGCCCACCTTGGGTGGCATTTATCACTCGCTTTTGACAGCAGAGTGCAAGAGAGAAGAACAAGACCCAGTTCAATGTGAGTGACGGGGTGATGGGGACACTGTCTGCAGCAGACCTGGCCAGGGCTCTGGCCGTCAGGAGACCAGGCCACACTTGCCGTGAGGCACACAGGAGGGCACACTAGCACGTGTACAAGATGCAAACACAGCGTGATTGTTTCAGAGAGCAGCTGTCGCTGGCCAGAGGCCCTGCGGTAGTGTGAGAAAGCAGATCTGTAGATCAGAGATGCTGACCGCCCCCACCCCTGGCTTCTGCCTGGCACAGGAGCCCCCTCTGACCTGGACCCACTCCCACATACCGTGACATGCGCTCACCTCAAGATTTGCTCAGTCCCTTCGTCTGGACCCATTGCATGTTTTTTTCTGTTCTCTTTCATAACCTGCTTTAGCTGGTCCCATGCTTTGCTCCTCACCTGGCCCTCAGCATTTCCCTTCACCTGGTACATCTAGGGCCCTGAGTGTTGCTCTTTCTCCTATACTTGGCTCTTTCTTACGTTACAAGCTTGCAGACTTTTCCTAGTTCCTTTCTGCTGAGCTGGGAAGATGGATGGCTCAGTGGTTAAAACTTTTGCTGTACAAGCCTGACAAACGGAGCTCAGGTCCCAGAAGCCACACGGACTGGGTGTAGTGGCACAGGCACCTGCCATCCCATCACGCCCCCGCTGGTGGTAAAGGAGACAAGACTTGATGGAGCTCAAGTCAACATTCTTAGTGTGCATAACAGTGAACAAGAGAGACGCTGACTCAAACACAGTGGAGGGCAAGGACGGACACTTGGGGTCCCCCTTCACTAGGGCTGTGTAAGTGTAAGCCTCCTCTGGGATAACCCTTGTCGTTCTGTGCATGTATGCTACGTATGTGTATCTGTGTGTGTTCCGGTGGACATGTGTGTGAGGATGCGCATGCTAGCACAGGTACATGTATGTGGATACCAGAGAACCACGTCAGATTCATTTCTCAGGCACACTCACTTGGTGTGTGTGTGTGTGTGTGTGTGTGTGTGTGTGTGTGTGTGTGTGTGTGTGTTTCTAGGCAGGGTCTCTTACTGGCCTGGAAATCACCACGCAGGCTAGGCCAACTGAGTCCTAGGGACCTGCCGTCTCCACAGCCCCAGCACTGGGGTTCTAAGGCTGCGTCTGTGCCTGGCTTTTTCATGTGAGTTCTGCAGATGGAACTGAAGCCCTCACGCTTGCAGGGCAAGCACGTCAATGGAGCCAGTCCCCGGCCCCAGTCCCCCTGCCCTGCTGTCAGCTTGCCATTCAGTGACCCTGCGCAGCAGGTGCTGCCTGCACCAGCAGAGGTGTGGCTGGAGTGTGTTCTGTGCCCATTGGCAGCTCACCGACAATGATGCTAGAACTCGGGGTGTCACCAGGACAGCAGAGTGGAGCTCTGTCCCGACTGTGAGCTCCAGAGGCCACACATAACACGGAGAAGTGGAGCTAGTCCAGGGACAGGTTCCCACTCATGAGCCACCCAGCAAATTCTCCCCCTTCCGACAGAAGGTTGAGGCTGAGCTGTGGCCAGATGGTGATATCTGCTAACAACAGCACCCTTGTCCGAGAGCTTCACAGAAGACCTGCAAGGCCCTGGGGAGCGTGACACAGAAGCCCCCAACTCCTGCAGCATGCTTACTGCTGAGTTTCTATGTCTTTGCTCTGCTCTTCTCTACTTCTTTATGTTTGTGTAGCCTTAACAATTCCTAGTTTGTTGCTCCTATCCGAATGTCTCTAATTCCTTGATCTGGAACACAAGAGCTTGCTGCCTCTCTGGAGGTATACGTCGAACTGCAGTGTCACAGCCGGATGGATAGATGCCATATACCTCTTTAGCCAGGTGGCCACAGGGCCATTGCATGGCTTAGAGCACTAAGATGGGGAAAATGGTGAAGGCAGGGTACTCAGTGCCCTGGGTTCCCGGGATGCTGAACATATGGCCAAGGCACATGGCAGAAGCCATCAGAATGGCTGGGTCCCTGCAGGAGAAGCTGCAGAGGGTCCATGCTTGCCTGAGGACAGCTGGGCTTCTTGACCTGAAATGCTGTGGCAGAGATGTGCAGCTGGGTGGGAATCCAGGTGCAGACTTGCAGCAGCTTTACAGACCCTCAGGGCCTCTGCGGCCTCCGCATCTGGCCCTCGGCACAGATGTGTAATTACCTACTCCAAGACAGCCTTAAAAGGTCGTCACAGGCCTCACACAGGGCTCAGACTAATTAAATTAAAACAGACCTGATGGAGAAGAAAAACCGACTTGAACCTCAGGAGGCTGATGAGGTGGCCTTGAGCGGGGTCTGGAAAGGCTGCTTGAATCCTGCCTCAAGGTTATTTTCAAGTTGCAGCTTTGGCCCAGCAGCCCCTGGACGAATGCCTGTGATTCCCCACAGGGCAGTGAAATACATCTGGATTCACAGGGAAGCCTTCCACACAGCCCCTTCAGGTGGAAACACCCCAGTCACACACCCTTGGGTACCAACTGGGCTTCCTGCCTGTCTGCACAGCCTCCCCTCACACTGCTGGACACACTGTGCCCAGTCAGGAGTCCGTCAACAGTGCTTACACGAGATCCTATTAGTCAGGGAACAAAGGAAGTCACAATCAAAGCACTCCTCAGTGCACGGGGCTCAGGTATCAGGTTCTGGGAAGGTGGGGGAGCTGGGCTGCAGACAGCGTCTGACATCTCTAGCCGTTGCACTGGTGAAACCAGTGTTCGTCTGCTCTAGTTTGCTTCCTACTGTGATGACAAACACCACTACCAAAAGCAATGTGGGGAGGAGAGGGTTAATTTGCTCACACTTACAAATTCCAGTCCAGCACTGAGAGAAACTGGGGCAGGAGCAGGAAGCACAGAGGTACCCTGACTGGCTGCTTCCTTGCCTCTGCTCAGCTAGCCTGCTTTTGCTCTAGCTCAGCCGAGGAACTGCACCTCCCAGAGTGGGCCTGGCCCTCTGCATCAATTAGCCATGAAGACAATGCCCCACAGACATGACCACAGGCCAATCTGATCCTCCAGCCCCTAGCTGGGACTCCCTCAGATAGCTGTGGGCTGTGTCCAGTTGACAGCTTAAAGCTAACAAGGAGATCTGCCAAGAATGCACCATAAGGTTTTCTCTAGACATGATGGTGTCAGGTCAGACACGGGCGTGGCTTTCAAAGGGACCAAAAATACCCTGAGATAATGCGGCTCTGTCCACAACATCTTAACCCTTCCTAACCTTGAAGTTCAGTCATTTGGCCTTGTAGAATCTTTAATATGGGTGCAGCTCTCACTCTCTCTGTGTGTCTGTCTGTCTCTTTCATTTTTGCCCTTCTGAGAACTTCAGCTTATACCAGCCAAGTCCTTGGAGAATTTAGCCCACAGTGCCAGCATGTACCATGTTCCAGCCTCAGAACTCCTGACACGGCAGGCTTGCATTGTCCTGATGCTGACCACGCATCTTTAGGAGGCCACAGGCCATGGTGGGCTGAACTGTAAGGTTCTGCTATAGGAGAAGTTTTTGATCTGTAAGCGCACCTCAGCCTTACTTGCCTGGAGTGACCTGCCGTTCTGACAGCTTCGAGCCCTTCTTTGTACCCAAGACACTGGCTGACAAACTACAGAAACCAGCTTTCAACCCGAGGTGCCTCTGTTAGAAAGCTCCCGTTTCCACCCATTTAACAAAGATTCTCTGGAGGTGCCACAAAAAAAAGCCCTACAGGCTAAGCACTAACAATGACAAGGGACTTCGGAGCCAGCGAATCTTGTCAGTTTCAACTGCATTTTTGCCTTCAGCTTTTAAGCTACTGTCTTGGGTACAGAAGTTCCCAATAAGCACATACAGAAAGGGTGACTGACCACACAGGTCAGATTCAGACGGGCCGACCCAGCATGAAGCAAATCACGGGCCCGAATGGCTGTCACAGCAGTTATTAAGCCTACGGAAACTGTCACTCCTAAAAGCACTACAAAATTTCCCCCGTACTGTGGGCAGGCGGTGCTGGAATCCAAGCTGATATCAGCCTAGAAGTCTGCATTTTATAAAGTGCCATTGCTGGAGTGGGCGTCAGAAAGTCCTGTAGCATTATCAGAGCACGATCGACAGCCAATCCAGGGGCCTTTCTTCTTAACAGGGAGGGACGAGGAGGTGCTTGGGAAGGACAGAAAGGATCTTGGAGAGAAAAAGGAGGAGCTTAGGGCAAAGGAGGAGGAGCTTGGGGGGGAGGAGCTTGGGGAGGAACAGGCAGGGGGCTTGGGGAGAAAGGGAAGGGAGGGAAGGGGCTTGGAAGGGATAGCTTGTTTTAGACTGCTGCAGGGGGTCGATTTGCTGAGGGGAGCTGTACAGGACTGTCCAGGTGATGCCCTTGCTTGATTGCTGGCTCCCGGAGTTGACTTTTGTGTGTGGGTGTTTGTCCACATGGACATTGTGCACCGCGTGTGTGCCTGCAGAGGCTGGAAGAGGTTTGGCGTCAGCTGGACCTGGAGTCACAGGTGGTTGTAAGCGGCCACGTAGGCACTGGGAATTGAACCCCAGTCCTCTGGAAGAACGGCCAGTGCTTTTAACTCCAGCCTCACGGAATTAACTTTCTTACTCTCGTAGTCCCATGTGTGCGACACACACGGGCAAGCAATGCCTCTGCCAGCCAGGCATAGCGAATGCAGGCTAAACCACACCTCACCTGCTCTCGTGTGCGCGCACTCTGAGAGGGCACTGGGGAACCACTTGCCTCCCTCCCTCTGCAGCCCTGGCCCCTAAGTGTCTGTCTGGTGGCTGTCCTCCCTTCTCAGGCTGCCTCCAGCCTGCTGGGCTCCTGAGCCCCATGGTCTGGGCCTTAGAGCTTTCCTTTGTCTGGCTTTGCTTTTCTGTCTCATTATTTTCCTTCCAGGGGCTTTGCTCTGGCCTGGACAAGCGGGTCTTTCTTCTCTCCGCTCTGGGGAGTGTTTCAGGACGCTGATTTCTAAGGCCTCCGTGGTGCTGGTCCGTGCCTGTGGCTTGTTGTTCTGTTGATTCTAGTTTCCTTTTCTCTCCTTTCAATCTCTCTCTCAGCTGGAGTTTGGACATTCTTCCTTTTCACCTGGGGTCACATGGTCACAGATCAATAGACGATATCCTACAATAAAACACACACTAGGAAACGAATATAGAGCGAATTCTCTAAATCCAGCAAACAGTAAGCACATGCAAGCAAATTAAACACACACACACAAAACCTCATCTCACAAGCTGACATGTTTTTGCCTCCAAGATTCAGAACTGGACTCCAAAGCCTCCATTCACAATTAGCTGTGACACCAGCTGCAAATAGATCAGGCTCACCAGCCTCAGTTTCCTCATCTGGAACACGGCAGACTGGATTGATCACCGTCGGCTAAACTCTGCAGCCTTGTCCACCTCTGTGAGTGTTGTTTTTCACTGTGAAGGTGCTGTGCCCTCTCTGCTGACCCCTCTGCTTGTGTGTGTGCGAGAGACCTTTTCTTGATCTCTCTGCCCCTCTGTCTCTCTGATTCTGTCTCTTTCTTTCTCTGTGTTGGTCTCGCTTCCACCTTTAGCAGTGCAGTAGGTGAGCCGCTGTCCGCCTCTTCCTGACGCCCACTGTCACCTGTGTCTGCTCTCTGTGCTACTCTTTTCCTCCCAGTGCACCCAGCACACCCGCCCGGCAGAGCAGCAGCCACGAGCAGCCACAGAGACCCTTGCCCAGACACAGCCGCCATGTGCCCACAGCCAGGAAGAGGCACAGATGTCTGGGCTAGATGTTTGTTGATTCAACTTTGTCAGCCCCAGGAGGATGTAGGCTTTGTCCCCGGCTCTTTCTGAGTGCGCTGGCCAACAACCCTGGACGGCATCCGCAGCCAGATTCACCACCCAAATGGCAGAGTGGCAACTGCCCTGCCGTCCGCATGTTTTCATCCCGTCCCACACGCTCCCACGTTGCTCCCTCCTAACCACAGAGCAACCTGGCAGTTGCGTACTGGACTCCGGCAGCTCAGATCATCCCTCTCTGTGGAAGGAACTAGGGCCTCCTGCCTGGTGCAGAGCTGCAGCAAAGAAGATTATTTCGTTAAGGAGGAAGAAGTAGACCCGGCCCAGACCCTCCCAGAAGCCCCGGCGGAATACTGCGTAGAGCCATCCTAGCTCCTTCCTGTCTGCAGGCCGTGCAAACAGTGCGCAAGACAGATCAGGTTCCGCCACGCCCAACCCCAGACTCACACTGTCCCACACTCACTGCACCGTGCGGGGCGAGGCTGGGGCAGAGTCAGATCTGAGCACATGCGCCCTGCCAGCTGCTCCCTGAAGCGCCACCCTTCAGCCGCTCTGACCTCTCTCCACCCCGAAGGCCACAGTGGTCGTAGAAAACACACCCCCTTGCTGTTCCATGGCCTCCACGATGGATGTGAGCCCCCTGTGGGCCGGTGTCCCGTCCATCACTGTAGATTGAGGTGGGCACAGGCTTCTGTCTGCACAGAAGTGCCTGGTGCTGTGCTTCCAGGGTAAAGTGTCCCCTACGGTCAGGTCACATGCCACCTCAGGCCCGCCAGTCAGCTCAAGGCAAACTCCGGTGAGCTGGTGAGGCCCTGACTGAAAAGAAGTGAAAAGAGGGCTGAGGTAGCTCGGTGGCGGGATGCTTGCTGGGGGTGTAGAGACGCTGGGTTCTAGCCCCAAAACTGAAACAATAAAAATTAAAAACTCACCGCCCTGAACACTTAAGGTTTGTGTGTTTCTGTTATGTGTTACACACAACTTGGAATAATGATAGTTCTTGTCTTGTTTTTCCTTCTTCAAAGGATGTCTGGCCAGTCTGTGCTGGATGAGTCTAGGTTCTCGGCCCTCTTGTTCAAGATGAAGTAAATGCTCGTGCAGATTGCAAAGCAGCAAGGAAACTTTGCCAAGGCAAAGTGATGGCACAGGCCAGAAAGGAGTTCTCTATGAAGAAGCAGCCACACTTCAGCACACCAGCCGGTCAGGTCACTTCCCTTCCTCATCACTCCTCAGCCCCTGGCGATGGCTGAGATGGCTGATGGCCCGAGGCCCTGTGCTGTTCCCTGGCGATTGCCGTCTCCATGGTCACTCACCCCCAGCCCCGCCCCTGCCTTCTTCTCCCAGTGCCCTCTCTTTATGAGGACACTGACCTCTGGCTCAGGTCCAGGTTAACGCTTCAGACTTGGTGTTGAGAGGCAGCGTCTCTAAAGAACTATTTCCAGGTAGAGTGGCCTCTGAGGTTCCAGCTGGACACACTTCTTGGGGTCCTGCTCCCTCCCCCAGCATCTATTTGGAAATGCCAAACCAGGTCCCGAAGTGTGTGAAGACCATTGAACAGCCCCCCTCAGGACTGGCCCCCTACCCAGCATTCCTAAGCTCCAGTCAACAGGCCCCGGGCGCTCAGCCAGGCTCCTCTCCTCGGGATTAACTTTGCTTTGAATGATGAGCTCCAAACACTTGCACTCTGGTCAAGAGAAAAATCCGTGTGACTCAGCAACCCCGAGACCAGGTTGTTAACCTCGGGATCAGGCTTACATTCTGTGGAGGTTCCGGCACTGTTCTGGGAGCAGAAGACGGCCCCACCCCTCCCTGCACCCAGGCCCTCCCCACACCCAGGCTCATCCTCCACCTAGGCCCTCCCCCCCAGACCCTCCCCACACCCAGGCTCATCCTCCACCCAGCCCCACCCCCCCAGACCCTCCCCACACCCAGGCTCCCCCAAACCCTCGCCCTGGTGAAGACAGGCTATGAAGGACCAGCACTGTTCTCAACCACACAGGAACACGGTCCTGTGTTCTGTGCATATTATGTTCCACACACATGTTACGGCATGAAGTGACCCCGAGGAGGTAGTTATGGGCTGGCATACCTCACCTGGGTAAGGGAAGGCTCTAGCTCAGTGTGTATAGCCCTAGTGACCCCCATCTTCCTGCTGCTCTGAGTGGCCCTGCTTTTCCTTGTCCCTCTTTAAGTCACCTCCGAGGACCCATAAGGCTCCTCTCCTAATCCCGTAGGGTTCAAGACCTGCAAGGGACAATCCAACCTGCCATTGTTCCAGAGCATGTGTCAATCTGGAAAAGGTTCTAAGGCCACTGGGTCTCTGATGTTGAAGGGAGCTGGGATTATCACCCCTCTCCCACCCACCCACACATTGGGTATTTGAAATGTAAAAAGTACTTATAGACTAGAAAGGAAAAAAAAAGTGTCTCTAAAACTGACGGAGGCAGAAGAGTTCCCTCAGTTCTAAGTAGCATGGCACCAAGACACAAACAGAGGAGGTAGGATGGTCGTTGTCCCTGGCTGGGTTAGCAGGCTAGGGCAGAGCTCAGCCGACCACTTAGCGAAGTGGCCTGACTGCACGTGTGCCCTGTGACTGGAGCATCTTCCCCTTGGCTCTGTGCGAGCCCAGAACCTGTGCCCAGAGGGCACAGATACAGTGAAGGTACAGTGGGGGTGTTCACAGCGTGTGTGAGCAAGCGTTGGCTCAAATTCAGCTGCAGGGCAAGAAGCGTCTTCATATCCTGGAGGGAAGGCGCGCGCGGGGGTGGGGGGCAGCGTGTGGGAGAGCAGCAGTGCTGGGAACCAGGAGCAGCACATGCCGAAGCAGACCCGGATGCCGAGCTGGGTGCGGGGCAGGAGTGAGTGCCCACGACGGAGGATCAGCAGCAACCACGAGGAACAAAAGAGGTGGCGGAAATACTCATCCAAGTCCCAGTACCTGTGAACAACCGTCTATTAAAGTCACTTTTTTTCTGGAGATAGAACATAGAGCTGGCGTGGTGGTAACAGCTGTTGTTAGGGCTACGCTCGGGAGACCGAGGCAGGTGCCTCTGTGAGCCGGGGGCTAGCCTGATCTACATCGCAGATTCCAGGTCAGCCACGGCTATCCTGTACCGACTACAGAGAGACATATCTAAAACAAAAACGAAACAATGACAAACTGCTAATGCAGACATAGCTTTAACTGTTCCCTCTCTCTCTCTCTCTCTCTCTCTCTCTCTCTCTCTCTCACATGTGCTCCCCCAGCCCACACACAGGCACACACACAATACACACCTACACATGCAAAACAAACAACAGAAGCGGCATCAGGAAAAGCCTCAGGCCTGTGAGAGAGGAGGGCAAGGCAAGCTAGGGGTTAGACATAGAATACTTTTCTAAGCCTCTCAACTGAGTGTGCTGTGCCGTGGGGAATGGGGAGCAAGCTGAGGTCACCAGATCATTCTGAAGATTAAGATAAAGAGATCAAAAATAGCCCTGTGCTCTGCAGACTCATACACCAATGGAAATGTTAGGGGAAGAAATCACGTTCTTTAGTGAGTGAGAAATAAATCCCGTTGCACAAATGATGAGCAAGGCTCCCTCACAGAGACTGGGAGGGACCATTTACTGCTTGTGAGGTTCACAGTCTGGATGGCATGGCAGACGTCCGTTTCTCCACCACAGCTGCTCCATGGGTGTGGGCTAACCTTTAGCCACGACTCTGAGCCACAGGCCCGGTGCGCTCTGCTGTCTGAGAGTCAGTATGGTCACCTCTCCCACGGCCGGGCTCTGGGTACACATCTGCACTGGGGAGGCTGTGTCCCGGCTCTGCCCACTGGCCTGATGGCCACTCCCACCATGACCACATGGTCATGCCTGTGAGGATGCCTGGCCTGGTTCCTTCCTGTCTCTGCTCTGTGCCCAAAGCCGAAATATTGGATCCCACAGAGAAGAGTGATTAATTAATGCGGTTGTCATAGTCTTGATTTTTAGGACAACTATTGGGGGACCCATGAAGCTGACTGTGAGGTTAGTCTTTAACAAGGTGTTTGAACAGTGGCCAGGATGTTAAAGAAAGGAGGTGGGGGGAGGGGAGGAAGATGAGAGAGAAAGAGTGAGAGTAAGAAGCAGGGAAGGAAGGAGGGAGAGAAATGGAAGAAAGGAAAGGATGGAAGAGGGACAGGCCAAAGAAGAAAGGAAGTACCAAAAAAGCAGGATAGAAATGAAGAAAGGAATTAAGAAAGAGCTCTGAGCAGATTTGCTATTTTTTAATTAAAAAACAAACAAACAAACAAACAAACAAAAACAGCCCAGTCTAGCGGTGTATGACTTTAATCTCAACTCTTGAGAAACAAAGAAGACAGATTTTTTTTATGAGGCCAGCCTGGTCTACACAGCAAGTTCTAGAGTAGGCCAGCTAGGGCTACACAGTGAAAAAAGACACCCAGGAACAGATTCCTCTGGACTCAGCTCAGCCTTGGATTTCGCCCTCCTGCAAGCGCCTACCTTCCCTTCACTTGTGGCTTGGTTTCTCCCCGGCTCTCCTGGAAAAACCAGCAGGGACTAGAGAAGAGTGGAGGTTCCTGACACTGGACTCGTGTGAACAATACCAAGTGGGCACAGTGCAGATCAAAGCCCATCTCCGCCAGTGCGCTAGGGCCTGGGCCCTGCGAAGCTCTCCCCACGGGCTGCCAAGGTGGCACAGCCTCCCGCAGCTCTCCAGGTTCTTGGCAAACCGTCGCTGGCAGCAGGGAGGCTCCAAGATCCCAACTTGTGACTTGTTGTTGCGTCGGAAAGGTCCACTCCTCGGCCGCTGGCTTTGACCAAGAGCAGAGTGGGAGCAAGGGTCCGGTGTGGCCGGCCATGCTCACCGAGCTGGAGGCACCGGTGGGGCACACTCACCCATCATGTCCAAACGCACCCGGCTGCTCTCCCCTGAATGTCCCTGAGTCCCCACCGCAGAGAGCCCTACCTGGATATGACCCACTGAGCTGTGTCTGCATTAACCTTCTAGAGGAAGACTTTCCGGGCCGAGGAGGCTGGGCGGCACTCCCTTCCCCTGACCTTGGCATTCCCAGGTGAATGTCATCCACAGAGTGCAGACTGCAGAGGCAGTGAGGTCACTGCTGGGCCAGGAGGGCAGGTAGGACCCCAACTGGAGCACCTCCCCCCTCAGCTCCACTGTAACTTGCATGTCTCATTAGCTTTTCTCCCGGAGATAAACAAAACGGAAATGAAGCTCAAAAACACTCACAAGGCATTTGCTCGAGCAAATAACAAATCCAATTTAAACATTGCTCTTGCAATTCTTTCTCTGCTTCGTACAGTCAGATCTGACCTTAGGGACCAGTTCTGGTTGGGAAGGGTTGGGGTGCCTGGTCTCAGCCCCAAACATAGCTGTCAGTGATTGCAGAGCACATCAGAAGTGCAAGCTACCTGGGATGGAGGAGACAGATGGGTTATCTGAGAGAGCAGCCCAGGGCTGGGGGCGGGGCTGTGCACCATCCATCAGAGACACTCTCTGCTTTACATTTTAGGGTGAATTTCTCCTTTCTGTTCTTTTTCACACCTGCCCTGGACATGGCTCATCTGTGATTTCCACTGTGAGCGTGAGTTTCCAAAATGTTTCTTTTCCGTGCGGGCCATATCCCTTAACACCTAAATCCCTGCTCATCCATAGGGCCATTTTTTTTTCCTCCTAGACTTGAATTCTTTATGATCCAGGCATTGTTAGCTCTGTAAACATTTGATTGGCCGTCTCCCTTTTAGCAAACCACATTTGCTAAATAATGTGGTTGATTTGGGATGCCCGACTGTGGGAAAACGTCTCAGCTATCCACCAAATGACACTTCTAATCTCGTCTTCTTTTAACTTCAAAAAAACCAACCGATAGCTTTATCTTTTACATGATTCGTCATTTGTGTGGGAGCCAAGGTCCTGCAGGGACAGAATCTAGACCCCCTTC